CTTTCCCAAGGGTACAAGATCGGTGACACCGGGCAGGATTCCAACCCGGGACCTCTTGGGCCTGGGCCTAACACGCTTCCGCTACGCCACACGATCCCACGATTCGGTAGGTCGTGAGTTCGATCCCCGGCCGAGTCATACCAAAGACTTTTAAAAATGGTACATATTTCTCTATCTGAGTGCTAAGAATCTCAGCATTTGGGAAAGAGTATGAGAGTTAACCACACACCACTACCAGTGGACTAGCTCACTCCTGTAGTGATTGCACTGAAGTGTGGCCCAAGGGCTACAGAAAGGGAGATGGGCGCCGCCATATGTGACCATCCTAATGGTTACAGGGAGGACTTTGTTTGTTTTGTTTGTTTCGCATAACCGGTAAACCGCCTTCAGGCGTAACACACCAGTTTTGTACATGTGCGCACATGTACAAGCTGCGTAAGACTGGACTGTAAGTTTTGAACCACTCACACCGGGAAGATCCCCTACTCTTTTCGATAAGTGCGGTGGGTTCTTTAACGTGCGTGGGGTGTGGCTCTCCCAAACACGGGACCTCCATTTAACGTCCTATCCGAGGGACGTCCCTAACCGAAGCTAGGTACTCATTTTCACCTGAGTGAAGTGAGGAAAGTCGTGTAAAGTGCCTTTCCCAAGGGCACAAGATCGGTGACATGGGCAGGGTTCGAACCCACAACCTCTGGGGTGTGAGCCGAACGCGCTACCGACTGCGCCACACGACCCCACACAAGACTTCTAGGAGAAAGAGTTAAAAGGGTTCACTACTAGAAGAGAAAGATTGCATTTCCTTCGGGATTTTGTCACAAATTGAAGAAGACACAATCGCACACCCCACTTGTTCGCATCATCTGTGAAATCTACGCTTCAGCGAACAGTCTAATTGAAAAATCATAATAATGTTCCTACCAGAGCATAGCCTGGGTGCCATCCTCCGTAGTTTCCACCGGCTCCCTAATTTCGCTTGGTAACCAGAGGCAGTAGGAAGCCGGTGGGAGCTACGGAGGATAGAACCCAGGCTAAACAGAGTACTTGTGAAAGCAGAAAGATCGATTAGGCCACACCAAGTAAATTTTATGGATGACGTCCTTTGGAGACACTAAATCTAATGCGAGAGGGCGAAAAAAAACAAGAAGGGTCCTAAAAAACAAGATGCCTAGATTAGAAATATACTAAGAGACGACAAATGTTAGGACACAAATTGAATGAGGTGACACAGTGTAACTAGCAAGAAGTCTTTTATTCATCATCAAAACAGCAATAATTTAGGTGGAACAGCAGTTGTCGTCCTGTCCTGTTTTCGCGTTACGGGTTTCACGTCAATCGGATGATTTGCGGCACTGTCGTGACTCTTTGGTCATAGTTACAGGAAGCGGAATTTCTTGGTTTTTTTTTTCTAGGAACAGGCCAAAATCAATGTGCGC